CTTGCACCTTCTCAGAAATGTACCATTGATCAAATGTATTACAAGTGGCTGGATTGTTTTTAACACAAGCAACGTTTTTTTAAATCATTATCTTAAACAGATTAAGGCTCATTTTGGACTACACTTACATTACTTTACAACTGCTTAATGCAGTACTGATGTATCTAGTAGTTTAGTGGGTTTAACTAATGTCACATCTGTTTTTATTCATTTCAGATGCAGAAACTTTTGACATATGAATTCATTTTGACTAAGGGTAATGTTTTTGTTCAGAATTAATCATTATATAAAAATCATTGTATTTTCTTTGATATTATGTACAGATTTTAAAAGAATGTACTTTCTTTTAATAAAGAACTCTTCACAGCACTGCAGCTAAACAGTCACAACCTCACAGAGCTGCACAACTGCCCCACTCAGATCAGTGTTGAAGCTGGAACCTCATCTTGTGTACAGCAAAGGCAGAGCTGAAAATTCACTGTTTGTCTTGTATTGTGTGGTAAGTCATCGTTTTATTAATTTTTTTATTTTATTGCAACACTAAGTTGTCCATTCTGTGGCCAATATGATATAAAGGGCCTAAAATGGGACTGACGTGATCATTGTTTTGATTTCTAGATAAGTACTCATGGGGCTACACATGCAGCTGAAGTTAGCTTCATTGAGTAGGACATTTCTTTCAGTATACTCTTAAAGAGATTCACCCAAAAATGAAAATTCTGTCATTATTGACTCATCCTTCACTTGTTCCAAATATGTCTGACTTGCTTACTTCAGTTAAACACAAAAAAATTATATTTTAAAGAAAGATGAAAACCTGCAAACATTAACTTCCATAGTATTTGTTTTTTCCTACTATGTATGTCAATGTTTTCAGCTTTCCAGCTTTCTTCAAAAAACTTCCTTCATGTTCAACACAAAGTAACTTGGAAGTTTTTAAAAAAGGTTTACAACCACTTAAAGGAGAGTAAATAGTGAACTGTTCCTTTAACCCAATCTAGTTGACTTTACTAGAAAATTGTATAGAAACCCAGTGGCTTAAACCCCTTACATTTTATACAAGGTACAACTTAACAGCCAAACTTGAATTAAAATGTTACTGTAAGTTCAAGAAGATTGTAAAGGTTCTAGGTTAATTTAAAGTGGGCTGTTTAGTTTCACCTTGTGTAAAAACATAAAGGATTTAAGGCAACATGTTTCTATGCAGTTTTCTAATAAAGTCAACTAGTTTGGGTTAAGAGTGTAATGGGTTACAGTAATAGCAGTGAATCATGCAGGCATAAAATAAATGTTTAGCCATGTAAAGCAATAAGCTTGTTATAATTTAGAAATATTTTAGGGTGAAGCACAGTATGCTGTTGTAGTTTTCATATAATTGATGAGTCAAACATGAGATGTGTTTTAAATTGCAAGACGTGAATTAACAATATGTTCATCAAGATTCAAATCTTGCATCTTATATTTTTTAAGGTTTTGGCCCAATAATACCCATATTCTGCTATTTAAAAAATCATGCTGGAATTTGTGTCAGCATTCCCTTCAATGAAAACTACAACAGTGGACATCAGTGGTGATAAAAATGTATGTGAAGGATAAGGGTGTTCATAATGAGAAGTGCAGTTACTATCCTGATCTCTGAGTTTGTAGAACTGACAGATCTGCTTGGAATAAATGGAAACATGCTGGAAATGTTTAACCTATTATACAGTTAATTCAAGAGTGCCAGGTTTAATGACACTTTACATATATAAATAAATATCACTGAACTTTCTAAATGAAACCTAACGCTCATTCTTTGTTCAGTAATGATATTGTGCACTTCTAATACTTTACAGTGGCAAAACCTGGAATAACACATGGGAGCCCTCCAGGAATTCCTGACACTTTACGCCCAAGTCTCCTCATGCTAACCGGATTGCAATATGACAGTCTAATCAGCATAAACACCTGGACTCACCAAGCACACTTTGGTTCTCAGTGTTTTGTAAAAATAGTTTTTGCTATTCTTCAGTAAATACTTGAATATGTTTTGAACTTATTCTACTTTTGATGTTTAAGTTCAGAAAGTTGTTATTATAAACATAATTTGCATTTGTCATGAACTTGACTTCTTGTTATTGTGAAAGCTGTTTATTATGATGGCATTTCCAAAGGCATCATTTGAAAAGATTTTTTGCAGTGCAGTTTTACTTGAGCTTGACATACCAGATGTATGACATGAATAAATATCACAAAATAAATATAATAATAATAATACAAAATATACATTTCCTTCAATTATAATTGTTTTTAATCATTTATATATGTATGGTAATATATTATTGCATTAAAAACTTATAAAATATATATTTTTGGTTAAAATATATATTTTTGCATTTTTGTGTGATTTTTATTATTTATTTTTATTTGTGGCATTATAAATAAATTATAAATGTTTCATTAAAAATTTATTGTGTTTATTTGCATTCTCGTTTACAATGAACTACTATTTATACTATTTAATGGGCACTATATTTGTCATTTAAGTTTGACATATATTTATATTTGTATACCTACATGATGCAGGGTTTAGTTGCAGCAAATGCTTGAAATGTTTTCAAACATGAAGCTTTTTTATTATTTTATTATTCGTTTCAAATTAAGTATACTGCCTATGATCTGGTTTTACTATGATCATTTTGCACATCAGGTTACCCCCACAAAGTAATCTCACGGTAAATATACATTTGTATTTTTAATAAGACAATAAATAACATGTAATATTAATACACATTTTGATATTTAAGTTATATTATAAGGTTATAATCAACCTTCAGCCGGAAGATTACCAAATAGAGACAAAGTGTGACGTAGATTGCGACGTTGTGATTGGACTATAACTTCAAAGCCAAATTAAAAGATCCTTCGTGTTGCTAACTATGTTTTGCTAACTTTGCCACTTTACTAACAGTGTCCTTTATCAATGAGTTATCGCTGTGTTTTAAATAGTTAACGATTAACCAAGATCGTAACCCTAAACTTAACCCTAACTACACCTTTCAAGGAACTACAATTTGTAGCGCCATGTCTTTCCCCTCCCATCTCTACAGCGACAAAGGATTGTGGGTAATGTAGTTTAAGGCCTTTTTGTAATAAAATGGAACAGATACAAATTTTAATGAACTAAAGACTATCTGAATAAGGTCATTGTGCATATATTTATGACATATATGAAAGCCAGGCATAAATTTGTTATTTTACAATGAGTATTTTTTAAACAGCTTTTATTGACTTGATCAGTATATATCAGACTATTATATCCAACATTATTTATTGAACATAGCATAGGTAATAGTCTTGCTGATATTCTCTCACTCATTTCTCGTTTGAAATGTGAATACTTTTTCCTTTTCTACGGGGCTCTACTCATCCCCTTTGAGTAAAAGGGCAGTTAACCTATGTAGATGTATTATCTTCAACATGGACAAGAAATTGTATTGTCACATGTACAGTTGTGGTAAAAAAAAAAAAAAAGCTGTAAAAATAAGCTAAACATTAGTATCCTCTTTAATTACAAGTTATTAGCAATAGTGATCTATGTTCATCACAAATGTTATGAGTTCAGAATAATATGTGTGGATGTAATTCTGTAAGTGTGTTTCATTAATGGTCATCATGTGATATTTAATTGTTTTCACTTTATTTGAAATATGGATAAAAGCTCTTTTAAAATATGTAAATGTTTATAAATAAAACCTTTTTAAAGACATGTATTTGTTTAAAAACCACTCTTTTTCTGATTATTTTTACTTTCTAAATCTTCAACTGTTTGTGTAACAGTATGATTTGATGACAATGGATGAACTTGTGTTTAATAATGATTCCACATAATGTCTTTGTCCTGCATGTGGGTTAATTTGTTAATTATTTTCTTTATGATCAAATGGTTGTAAGATTTGCTGCATTGTAAGAATCATGAAAATATTGAGAAATGAGGTAACAATGATGAAAAGATATCTTTTCAAATGCTGCGAATAGTTCAAACCTCCAAATGATTAAAAATACATAGCCATTAACCAACAAAATAAAAATGCAAACATTTAAATTATCTAAACTAGAAGTAAAATAGTTCTGTGCTGTATTTATAAGTTACTGTGTAGTTCTATGTCTACCAAAAATACATATTTCAATACATATTTTATTTTCATTCATTCATTTTCTTTTTGGCTTAGTACCTTTATTAACCAGGGGTCGCCACAGTGCTATGAACCGCCAACTTTTCCAGCATGTTTTTATGCAGCAGATGCTCTTCCAGCCGCAATCCATCTCTTGGAAAATATTTTATTTTTAATCTTGCATTCAATAAAACATTATACAAAGTTAATTTTTATTTTCAGAATAACAACAGTGGCACTGTTATCTCACAACAAGTGCAGCAGTTTTTTGTTAGACATTCTAACAAATTAATACAAATGTTTCAAAGTAAGGACAAAAATAAAAGGAGATAAATTTTATTTATTTATTTTTTTTAAAAATCCATGAGGACCAAATAGATCCATCAGATCTTTGATGTAAATCATAGGTTAATTTTTCCAGAGGTAGAAGTCTGGTTGCCTGACTCAGCCACATATTGACTGGAGGTATCTGAGCAGTTGACCATAATAATGTACATTTTTTGCCCAAGTATATGCAAAAATTAAATCATAAAAAATGTATCATAAAATTAATATTTTAAAAGCTCTTAATGTCACTTAATGTAATAATTTCATTTTAATATAGAGTTCCTTAAATCGTTATATGTTGTAAGCAGTTAGGCATACAATAATGCTCTTACTTTACAACACTGATTGATTTTAGAGGAATGCTATACTGTACATATCTATGTATTTAAAAAAAAAAGACAATTTGGTTATAGATGATGACAATTTTATTTAATTTTTTTACAGATTTTATTACATGCTTTAGATTCAGGGTTAAGGTCATCCTCTTCTGGATTACAGTAAAAGAAAATCCACAGTCAATGTCATACTCATCAGCTGGAGCTTTATTTAAAAAAAATCTATGTTCTCTGCTCCATCCAAAACTTGCAGGTACCTTGCAGGTCTCTAGATTGCACCATCTTATTGTTGTTTATTTCTCAGTTATTTTGTTGCTTTTTGAGAATGATGATCCATAGACCTTTTAACCCCTCTTCGTTAAGGCCACATGTCGAATCTTAAAAGAAGAACACAACAACATAAAAATATATTAATATCCTTTGGACTGGGTAACCTTATGCTTATGTCTGTGCCAAAAAATACAAATACATACCAGTACTTTTCAGTAGCAAACAAGCAGGAAAGTTATTTGAAAGAACCAGGATGAGTTGAAAGGTATTTATAGTGGTTGGCCATCTCTGCCACAAGAATCCACTGCTTCTCCTGAAGAATCCTGACTAGCAGGATGATGTTGAACACCCTCCTCTTTGTTGCTGGGTCAGCAGAGTCTGAAATATATTTATGAAAAGAAAGTTGTATAACAAGGATTATACGTCAACTTTTAAAGAATCAACACTGACAGAAGTCTAGTGTACATACCATGCAATATGACGAAGACATCCACATCACTTCTTCTTTTTGTTGTCTTTGCTTCTGCTACTGAAAAAAAAATGACAGTAATAGTAACACAATTTTTCATGACTACATGTAATATTAATAAGAATTTCCTCACCCTCTGCCCACTCCTCTACATCACAGACCAAAGTCTTCCAACTGGTTTCCAGTCACTGCCAGTTTCATGGATTCTGTTTTCCAACTTGCTTTGCAGAGCTGTTGCGGTCTACAATGATAAGCAATCAAAAAATCACAATACTATTTAAATAGGTTACTGAACAACTAAAACAAATTCAACTGGATATCGTTACCTTCTGATATCAACAGGTCAGCGAGATGGCCAAATTGTTGAATATCTGCTAATTCCAGCACATGACCATGAGAGTTACAGTAGCATGTCTGGTCACTGCAATCCTATAGAAGAAATATTGCACTGTTCAACCTCCTTTCCAAAAGTAAAACCAGGCATATCCTGGTATGCCTCACTCCATTTCACCTGGTTAACATATACAAACAAACAAACAAACAAATAAATAAATAAGTAAACCAATAAGTTTTGGCATTTACTTGTAGATCAGTTTAAGACAATTACATAGTTCATCTATCTCAGATATAAACTCATGTGATTAGGCATGAAACACACTAAAATCATGGGCTTAAAGATGGTGCTGAAACTTTGGACAGCTTTTTGCAACTCTTTGGAGGTAGTGTCATTAGTTGATGTAGTCCACAAATCTTCCTGTCAATTCTTAATCCTTAGCTGTAAATAAACCTTCAAAAATGCCAGTGTTTGAAAAAGGAATGAAACAGTACAGAACAAGTGCATAACAGTTTATATCTTCTAATCTAATTTTCTTAGGTGAACATCACAGAGCTGTTTTCTTGTTAATTTAGTTTCAACACATACAGTTTAAAGTACCTCGTGCATTCTTGAAATGGTTATGCTTATGGTTCATATCTACTTAAATTGGCAGTATATCTAGTGTGGAAGCAGAACAGATGAAGCTCTTCCTTGCAAATACTATCCACCTTGTATTGCACAGACTCCCACTCAAGAATATCTCAGAAAAATGTCTGCTGAGATCTTAGCAGTCCATTAAAAATAATTATACCAACATCTTTTCCACCAATGGAAAGAATATAAAAATACTTTAGGATATATTAATACTTGCATGACCAAATCTGAGATAAAAAGGCCATCAGTATGCCTTAGTTTAAATAAAACCAAAATTTTACTCTAGCCCACTGTCACCTAGGTCTACAGATACAGGGACTAATGGAAACAATGAAGTACACACTGACAGTCACTGGAGCAAGGCCCTCTCACAGTTGGGAAGATTGGAGTTCCTATGAGCTGTACCAGATAAAAACAACAAAAAAATGTACATTTATAACATTTCTAACTTATCCTAAGACTAGTAGACAAGCAGCATAAGCAGTTCTAATTTCCTAAACCCCAATGTGGGCAGTTGATGGCCTATAAGGTGTCATAAAATCAGACAAAACAAAATACTTTCTGAAAAAGAAAAAAAATGGTTGGCCGCTATCAACACCCAGAACAATTAGTTTTAAACAGTTAGGCCACAATATTTTGTGAGCTTATGCTGTAGTTTTTTAATGTTTGTCATAAACAATAGTAATAGTAAAACTAACGCGTTTCTTTCTGTTCTTACAATAGTAGTGAAAGAATAAATGCATTTTATCTCATACAATCATATATGCCTAAACAATGTAGATATTTAATATACATGGAATGAAAAACTTCACTAACCCTTGACTGATTCCAGAGTGGTCTTGGCCTTCCTTACATGGTGGTGCTTTCTGCAGATCACCAAGTTGTCATCAAAACTTGAGCTTATAATTGAGATCTTGATGATAAATCTGAGTATTGAGGAATCACTCATGATGATAGGCAGAAACAGGCTGAAAGACACAAGAATTAATCAAACAAATATAAATGTGTTAACAGAGATAGAGAGAGAGACAAGTGCAATTTAACATATAAACATGGGTAAAGTGATTTTACTTTTTGCTTATTAGAAAACAAAATTGGATTTTTAAAGAAATCTAAAGAACCTGAAAAGAGCAAAGAAAAAATATTCATATCTGAACAGTGAACACCTTATAATGTACACCTGTATATATATATATATATATATATATATATATATATATATATATATATATATATATATATATATATGTGTGTGTGTGTGTGTGTGTGTGGTAGATTAAGCTATTTTTTTGTTTAGTTTTGTGTTGTACAATGAATAAAATGTGCTCAGACGGGCAATTTTTCCTTTAAAGGCATGGAAAATAATTGTTTTTACAATAAACCTTTGGAAACACTTGATGTTCTTTAATATTAAAACAATTACGAATACATTTGTATTATTATATTATTATATATAGATTTTGCACGAATTCTATTGTGGAAAACAACAATCTGGTTACACTGTTCCTTATCTTAAAATGTATATATTGTTCTAATGCATGACCAACGTTATATGTAAGAAAAATATGTTTTTAATAAATGAACTTGATGTAATTAGATAACGTCGCTAGTTTACAGTACATGCTTTATCAACAAATCGTGTTTATTTGTTTACTTTTTACTTACCTTGTGGAAAACCGCAGTGAACCTTGGGATCGCAATGAACCTTGGGATAGCGAGCATAGACTGTAAAAAATAGATCGCCACATACAATGACCCCAACTTTAATAAATAATTTAAAATGAAAAATATCAGCCGAAAACATTTTTAAACTTAGTACTTGAAATTTAATATTTTTTTAAAGTAAAAAAATAATAAATAATATGAATGAATCAAAGTTTTATTAGGCATAGTTACCCTAAACTGGACAACCGAATATATTTTCACTCATTAAATATAAAGTAAATGATAACATATTTATAAACACCAACTAATCTCCAATAAAAATATATTATGCAGCATTAACGTAATATTTAATGTTGACAGTTGAACTCATCTGAGAACTCACCGCTGATGCAGTTTGACCAATAGCAGAGCGGCGTTAAACTCACCGTGAAGGGATGTCACGTGGGCCGAAGTTTATTCATACAGTAGTTTCGACCCCGTTTACAGACGCTTTTCATGAACAAAATAAAAATTACATATTTTTAAAATAAGAAAACTAAGATAATAGGCGTAAATCAGGTTTTAAAAATTGCGTTGACATCTATTGATAATTATACGAGCCTCCAGCGTCTCCATATGACGCCTCAGGCTCAGGCACAGATTCTATAGGGAATCCCTGCACGTCTAAATATGACGCTAAAGGGGTACCCTGTGCGTCAATAACTGACGCCGAGGGTTCCTGACCAAGCGTCAGTATGTGACGAGTTGGGAGTGAGAACGTGTTGCCACAACACACCACAGAATTTCCAACACAGCTTCCCAAGGGCTTTTTTTTTTGGATTCAAGTATGAAAGTTCCAAATGACTGTCAAGAGTGAAGCCAGGACTCCTGCTGCTTTATGTAGGAACACCTGAGAATAATGTACCGCAAACCACTGGAATAGACACTGGAGCTGCAGCTGTGCCTGCTGTTCTTAAGAGAGATAGAGGACAAGAAAAAGAGAAATAGAAAGAGAAAGAGAGAGAGAGAGTCCTATAATTACTTTGTCTGTCTGCTTTCAGGTGACAGGAATCTGAATCAAGGGATGATGGGATATGGCAAGGACACATAAGTGTGGATAAAAGCCAAAGTAAGACATGCACTCTAGCAGGTGTTCTCGATTACTGTGTGTTTTACTCCAAATAACAGCTTTAAAAGCAGGGTCTGCAGAGTCAACTCACGCACTCAATCACTTTCAGCTGTTTCGGACACAAAAAACAGGATACTTTATGAGATAAAAAAAGAAAAAAGGAGCTGATTGAGGTTATATTTACACACAGTTCATTGTTAGAACTGAAACTTAATTGTTTTCAATCGTGTGTCTGAAATGAAGCAGTTATATTCAGTTTGAGAAACTCTGTACCGCAAACAATTTATATGGTATATATTTATATTCATAATATATGTGTAACAACTATATGTAACAACATTTTTGAAATAAAGATTGTTCCCAGGTATTGATGAAAGGATAAAATGCTTTAGTTTAAGTGAGAATACATATATATTTTAAAAGTGCAAGGGCCTTGATTGACGTTTTTTTAAAGGACTATTAGATTATTACATAAAACATTTTGTTTTATTTGTGGCTAATTGTTGTTTGGATGCTTTTCATTTCCATTAACGTATACATCATGTAGATTAAAATGTTCAGAGCACACGTCATCAACTGCTAAATTCAAATCTGATTCTGCACCATGTAGCATAGAAAGAGGCATGATTTGCTTGTCATAAATCACAATTTACCATCAGTGTTTTCTAACATATCACATTTATTAGGTTTCAGAAATTTAAATAAACACAAGTACTAGTAAAAACATTTATGGTTTATAAAATACACACTGATGTCTATGGATATGGTAAAAATAGTTATTTTTAAATATAATTGAACGTTGTGCTTTATTCAAGTTAGATTTTCACAGTTTAGGTTACTGCAAAATAGATACTACAATTTGATCTCATGTGATTTGTGTCCCTCCTTGCATTCCATTTGTAACTCTGTATTTACTCTTCTCCTCTCCCAGTTAAACAGTCACTGCCTTTCATGTATTTTGGGAGAAAATTATGAATTATTACATTGTAAATCCAGCAGCTCGGATCTCTCCTGCTAATAGGCCCATCATTCAACATATATCAAGTTATGTTATTAATATTAAGCTGGTTAAATGATAAAGTACATGTTCTTAAAACATATACAAGAGTTTGAGGATAATATATTTCACAATATAATTAGGACACTTGTCAACATTTGCAGTAAATGGAAAATAGAAATAAAACATGACATAAATCATGGGGGTTGCAGTGTTACGTGATAAATGTGTCGTCGCCATGGGAACTTTAAAGTATTCTAAATAACGGTCACAATAAAAATCTCACATCGGGTCAGCAGAAGTATTTAAAACGTATGTTGTAAAGATGTTAAGATATTATCTAGGTAAGATGAGTGAAATGGAAATTACAATAGGGCTGCACAAATAATTGAAGATTACTTCAATGCACATTTTATCAGTAAAGTCAGATCTGTCATCATCAGATAGCTTACCCTATTTTGCAGTGCTGCTACATCTGAAAGTAAGTTATGCTCATAAAGGATGTTTAAACCAAAATAATAATAATAATAATAATAATAATAATAATAATAATAATAATAATAATAATAATTTAATAACCTCATGTTGTTTCAATCCACTGATCCTTGCGCTCATCATTTGAGCAAATTAAAATATTTTAGATAAAATTTGAGAGCTCCCAAAGGCAAGAATTGTCACTTAATATTCAAATTCAGAAAAAGAACCAAAAGCACTGTCAAAACATTTCATGCAACTTCTTCTGAAATATCTTGAGTTGTATTCTGAAGATGAATGAAGGTCTCAGGGGTTTTAGTATCAACATAAGGCCACGTAATTAATAAAATGAGTTCTTTTGGGTGAACTAATACTTTAAAAGCACAAAGTGGAGATAATTCCTTACCTTGTTGCATCATATTTGTTAAATGTGAAAATATGAATACCAACAGCTAAGCTGCAGTATCTCCTGCTAATATTGATGTTTTTTGACTAGACTAGACTTCCTCTAGCCCACATCTGCTGGTTTTTGCTAAAAATGGAAAGTGAGATGTAAACTGTTCTGCAGACCAATATGTTTCTACTCAAACCAGACACCTTATCTGGGATGTTCAATAGTGCTAATGAGCTAAGGGAAAAGCAATTTGCTGTTAGCACTTACCAAAAAAGTATTTTTAAAAATATTACATGTATAAAAAATCATCTGTATGTATTATTATCTATATAGACATTTATCAGTACTCAATTGTTCTTTAGATGCTTTAAAAACACAAAACTGACTTATTTTTTTAACCTTGTCAAATATAGTTAGTTACTAGTAAGTGCAAATTTGAGTGCTATAGCTAAGCAATCTCCTGCCAATTACTAAAATAACACTTACCAAAAAGGTTTTATTAAAATATTACAAAGGCTATAAAAACCTTTATGTAATGTTATAGACATTTTTCAGTGTCCAGTTGTTGTTTAATTGAATTTTTTAACTTATCACATATTTACTAGTTAGCTACTAGTGAGTGCAAATGTGAATGCTAATAGCTAAGCAATCTCCTGCCAATACCGATATTCAAAGACTTCAAGACTTCCCAGCTGTTAGCATTTGCTAAAATTGGAAAGATATAAACTGATAGCCCTGCTGTCGAAATTTTTTTTCTGAAGTTTAAAAAAACTTCAAAAACTTTTTTTTTTTTTTTTTTTTTTTTTGCTGTGGTGCGGAATTATGGTTATGAGCTAAGGGGGTCTCTGATTTCTACAGTATTTAGACTTCCCTAGCAAGCATTGAATATATGTCATGTTTTTAAACTGCAAGTGTTAGTTGCCCTCCAGTTCGACATGGAAAGTCTGACATTAATTAATTTTGTCTAATGTCTGTGTCTATATAACGTCCATACAGGGATGTCTTTCTATGCTGTGGCTGCAGCTCTTTCATTATTGTTCTCCATGGTGTCTAACCTCACATAATGAACTCCTTGTTGGTGCTAATGGTTCCTATTATAAGAAACTGTCAAAAGTTCCACTTACAGCAGCCTTCTATGACATTTACATCACAAATGTCTGGGAAATAGGCCACACTGGAGCAGACTGCAGTGTTTTGAATGGCTTTATGTCATGAAATTAAGTCCTACACCTATTTGTTGTTTGGTTACGTCATCAATGCTAGCTTATTCATTGAAGTCACAATGCAGCCTAACAGAAATGAGATCTTTTTTTTTGCTATTGAGATGCACATCCAAGTGATAAGATTTTATTATATCCATTGCTTTGTAGGTTGAATGAAAGATTTGAATGTGAGCTTACTATCGTAAGACCAAAAAAAAA